AAAAGCTGTAGCTAAACCTCTACTGTGGCGGACGACGGCGAACAGATCGTTCAACTTGACCGTGTTCGTGATCCAACCTCGTCAGAGTTTGAATCATCACAGCTCTACTGTGTTTCTAATAATTTCTCATCAGTTCCAGTTCAGGGAAACCAGAACTCCAGCTGATGAAATCCCCGTTCAAACTGAGTAACATTCCCACCGTGTAATTCCAGGGACTTTCCGTCCAGCTGGTTTGTCTACTCTGAGTCCACGTGTCGCCACATGAGTGAAATCGATAGAGAGATTATGACATTGACAGTGACACCTTGAGATTTCCGTGGGCGTTTTAACGCGGCTATAACTCTCATAATTAACCTCTGATGTGATTTGGCAACGTGGGGTTTTTCCTGGCAGACGGTGTAACCGTTGATCGTCCTCCTACACTTTGATGTGGTTTTTTCGCTGTCACTCCCTGTGTGTGTGTTTGTGTGTGTGTGCGTGTTTGTGTGTGCACAACAGTTTGTCTCATAATTCAGTTATTCATTTTTATGTTCCAGAAGTTTTAGTTTCATAAAAAGGAGGTTGTGTAACTTTGATAGTGCTATAAGTGTGGTTTTAAGTGCTAATGTAATGAAATGGTGATATAATTACATTGTGATATTAAGTACCGTAAGTGAACGCTAGGAGTGGTGGAAAAGTATACAAGGGTGGTACAGGCCATTTCCAGTGAGAAAGTCCTGATTCCCAGTGGAATACCAGGTATAAGGTAGCGGCGGTGAGCGTTACTCAGGGAACCGCTCAGGGCCCCTTTGTATACGCCGTGGTTCATAGGATGAGAGATGGAGTGGAAGTTTGCTAAGGAGGTGCAGGACATACGTGTGTGTAAACAAAAGTCCAAAAATAAATCTGGAGTAAAGGTTGTAAAAGTGGGGAGTTCAACTGATCAGAGAAATGGACAGTGAACAAAAAAAGCTGAAGAAATGGCTGAAATTCAGGGAGAAAATCTGGATCCTCTGTAGAATATAGGGTTTAAGGTAGCGGCGGGGGTTCTCAGGGGACCGCCCCCGGGCCC